CTGGAAAAGACTGTTGAGAATTCTTAATTTTAAAATGTATATATGTATTGTGTGACTGAAACAGCTCCCTGAAATACGCCTAATTGTCTTGATACCCTTTTTTCAGATATTTTATCTTCTATGTTCATTGATATATATTCACAAAAAACTGAGAATGCAAACAATATAAATACAAATATTGTAAAATTTTAATGAGTAACAAAATTATGGAACATTTACAAAATGTAAAATTATATGGTAAATAAAATAAACTCATGATATATTCAGGTAAATGAAAGACACTGTTTGAAAATCCTACAAGCTCTGAAAGGATCAAAAAGACAAATGTCATATGTTATAGTTCGGATTTTATTCCTAACTCCAAATAAGCAGATAACAGTTTAGGAGTCACTTGAGACATTGCAACACATATGCATGCAACAACATTTTATAAAAATTAAGAGAGATTACAAAATTGAACAAAATAGAAGGGGTGCATATTAGACGGTTAAGAGGGAGGAAATGGATGTGGGTAATTATGCAAATGTGTAACTGTAAAAAAGAGACACAATAATTGTGTCAAACTTGTAAAAATTGGTATGAAGGACAGCCTAAAGCTTTACAATGGTGAACTTATATAACATAAGTTTGCAAAACATACAACAGTGCAAATTGTAGATTATTCCACATGTTATTGAAGGAATCCCCAGTGAAGGAAGAAATACTGCACAGTCCTGGTATTCATCTGGTTTGTTCCCAAAACTATATGACAAGAGCCTATGTCTAAGAACAACACAGATTTGGTTTTGATATCCAAAAATATCATCAAGGCAAGGAAGGTCCTTACTTCATGAAAGGTAAAGGATTATTATCAGCCTGAATGAAGAGCCCATTTACACAAGTGCAGAGATTTTCTGAACACTATTATTTTTATACAATCTTTCATTTGAATTGTTTTTTAAAAATGAATTTTATTTTTTTTACCAGTGGGCATCTAACAGCATTCATTTATTACTTATACAGTATTCAAATTATATCTCTTGTAGGTCTATTTACATGAGAGTTGAATTCAATGTTCTGGAAGTATAATGTAGTCAATACATGAAAAATCTTAAAAGTAGCATACGAGATATAAACATTCTTATAGGAAATCCTCCTTAAATTTCAATATCTTATATTCCAAGAGTGTGGTTATTCAGGCCACACTTTTAAATTCCTTTAACTGCACCATAATATTCTAGTATTGAAATTGCTTTCAAATTCAAGTCACATTTGTGAGTGAACCATATACTACATATGCATGCACATTTTGTGACTTTTACCTACTGGTATACTGCTGGAGACAAAATTATTAGTTATAAGCTTCAGAAGGAAGTTATACTCCATCATTGGAACATAACCTGACCTTTTGAATACTCATATTTGTTTAGGGTATAAGATAATATAGCATTCATCAGGGCCAAATAAAAAGTATTAGAAATATGAAAGTTCATGTAATGCAAAATCATTGGTTGATTCAATGCCACTCCCTATAACTAGCTTTATAAAATGATGTGACAGTTCAGTTCTGTCAAAAGCAGTAACCTAATTTGACCTTCTGCAGAAGATCAAAGGCAGGCAACACCATGACAAAGTTTCTGCTGCTGGCCTTGGCACTTGGTGCTGTTCATGCTCATTCTGAGGTAAATACATTTGGTCTGTCCATGTCTGAGGTTCTTCAATAGCAAAGTAGGCCAAAAATTGAGCAATTTTCTAAAGTCCCAGGACCAAAATGCTATGTTTATTGAGACATCATATTACCATGAATTATGCTACATCTTTGAAAATATAATTGTAGAGTAATGAGAAATATTATTGATAGATATGTGTAGTCACTATTCTTATTACCAAAGACTGAGATCAGAGATGCAAATACCACCTTAAATTCCAATGTTCTTCATTAATTCTGTTCTTTGACATTGTTGTTTTTTCAGCTGGATGGAGAATGGGTTACCACTGCCATTGCTGCTGACAATGTTGGGAAAATAGCGAAACAGGGACCTTTGAGAGTTCATGTTCGTAAAATTACTTGTCATGAGGGATGTGATAAAATGAAAATCACATTTTATGTAAAGTAAGCAAATTGTCAACCATGTAACCTGAGACTTACGTGTCTCAATATTTATGTTGTTAAATTTACAGGGGAATGTTCTGTTTCTGTGCAAAATATTTAAGGCCTCATCTTTAGCAATGTGATTATATTACTTCATGCTGGGGTTAATTTTGGACACCACACATAGCTTAGTCACTGTCTAAAACTCCGTGAGTATTTCTTTGAAATCCTGTGACTGGAAACCTGTGGTTGAGTTTTGTGCTCTGATATCAAATGCAGGAGACTCCATGGATCTTAGTTCTAGTAAGTTGAAAGGAATATGTTAGCATTTGAGTCAAAACCATTCATGTTATTATTCAATCTGTGTTGTCAAAACAAAGATTCCACAAACAGGTCAGTTAAATGCAGTTTACCAGTCCCTTTATGCAGTTACCAGTCTCTAGGTTCAAATATTGTCTATTTGACACTCGGAAGACTATGTTAAAGGAAATAGTGTATTAACACCATAAGGAAGAAAAATCATTTGAACTTTTCTTCTTACATTCTTAATTATAAGCAATAGGTTACAAACAAAAGCATACAAAATACATGAATATAAAACTGTGTATAAGTTATCACTGAACTAAAGTGAGAATTTGCATGCTGCAAGCCATAGTCAGTGATGTTTGTATAAGAAAAGCATTAGAGCATTCAATGAAATTGGCAAAATTAACACAAATGAAGGAATTCATAAATATGATTATGAACATGATGACATATTCTAATAAAAGTAATGCAAGCGTAGGAATTAGGCCCCAGCTCTGTGAATAGTTCATCGACAGTATTACTCTCAATTTTATTATAATACATGGAGCTCTTTAACATGAATTCTAGGGTTATAAAAATGAATAAACCATTGTCTCTCTTATTTTTAGTTCAAATGGCCAATGTTCAGAGACAACAGTTGTTGGGTATAAGCAAGAAGATGGCAACTTCAAAACCCAGTGTAAGTACACAATCTGGGCCTTCCTCAATTGGCTAAAGCATTGGGAGTTGGTGCCTTCTTGATGACACTTCAGCAACACATAGGTGTAAGTAAAGAAAAGATGCTACTTTGAAAGTTATGATTCATTCCAAGAAGTTGGGATATGCTACAAAGCCAGAGTATGTTGCAGGTCTTCTGAAGTTTACATCGAAAAGAACACTATCATGCAAAATTGTGAATAATTCTAACAAACAGTCTCCAAATACTTTCTGCACAGAAAATTATTTCTACTTAATATTTAGTTATTTTGTATAGTATCCATTTGTTACATAAAAATAATGCCACTCTATAGTAGGTTTCATTGTCCTCAATGACATTTGCAAACTTCATGCCTCAGGCTATAAAGTACTAATATCTTAGACATTATCTATGATCCTTGATTCATGGAAAATACAAATTAACAATGCTCTTTCAATGTTTCCTTTCTTCATATTTTGTAGAGTTAATGACATTTTGACTGTTGAATATTAAATATCAATTTTGAAATGCAGTTATTGGAAAAATCTGTTTACAAATGTGATACTGACTACTTCAGTTTTGTGAGAATTTCTAGAATAATTGTAACACTACTCAATTAAATTCTACACAATTGGACTTTTAGTTTGACACTGAGTGAACAGGGTGTACAGTCTTCTGGTAATTCTAATGTTTACTTAAAACTACAGGGATATTTAAAAAAGGCCTGTAACAGAATGTGACCATATCCTAAAATCCTTTTACTTTACTTTGTTGTGAACAAATTTATTATTCAATAAATATCAGTAAGTGGAAATCTGTGACAAACACACAAACACCCAGAGATGTACAAATGCTGAAATAAACATACACCCTGAGACTCACAGACACATGATGAATATCCTTCAAGCTGAAATTTTTCACCCTAACCATTTTTTCTATCTCTAATATCAAAAGATGAGAATGTTCATGCATACTACAGTTAGTAAGAACTATTTTTGCACAAATACATAATACCACACCAAATATTACCATGGTAAGATACCAAAGTTTTATGACATCTGGAAATGACAAGTTGCATTTAGGATCTAGTTTTAAAGGGGAAGAATGCCCAACAGTGTGCTCACACAAGTCTTGGCTAAAAGGAATTCAGATAGAAGGGAAAGTGTCTGTACTTAAGATTCCTAAACATATTTGAAGGTTTAAAATACACAATGCAAATGATTGCAGGAATTGCTGTGCATATATGTGTTATATCATAGTTTAAAAGAGAAGGCTACTAAAGGCAGGGAGAATATTAATGTTAAGCAAGCAGTTGCTGTCAAACAAAGTGAAAAATGAGTGACACTGAGTTTTGAAATGTTTCCTTTATTATTACAGTTGAAGGAAACAATACATTTAAACCTGTGATTATAACAAAAGAAGTCCTTGCCTTTACTAATAAGAATGTGGATAGAGATGGCCTGGAAACACACTTGATTTATGTTGTTGGTAAGTATGATAGTGAATTCCCAAAAATAGCAGTGAAATTATCACTCTGAAAATGAGGATTATGTGAGATTCTACAGCAAAACCAGTATCAGTGGTGTTACCCACTCCTTTCCATTAAGTGTCAATCCATGTGTTGGTTTTATACACGAACTATAATATTACATTATAATTTCAGTAGCACACACTTTCAAAACTGAGGGTGGTGGTGAAGAATGTTAGAAATATTTATTGTCATGTTACCTCACTGCAATGATTGGAAAATATGATTTTTTCTATGCTCAGATCATTTTTAGTGTCAGACAATCAAGTGGGTAAAAGATTAAAATATAATTCTATAGTATATAATCAGGAGATATGGGAAAGTTACATGGACAGGCATTCATGTCTCTATAGGATGCTGTTTTGAAAATGGCTAGGATTCAGATGAGTAAATTCCCTTGACATGAATTTTTGTTTTCTGAAGCATCATGGATCACTGGAAAGTGATGACATACTACAGTTTCAAATTCATTAAATGCATTCATAGATCTTGGGGAAAATTATTATTGAGAGTATTGACCCAACAAGGACAGATGACTTTGGATAATTTGGTATTTTTTCATTGCATATCATGATAAGACACTAAGGAATCAATGTAAAATCTGAAAAGTTCTACTGAACATGTCCCTGCCCATTGTCATTCATGCACTGTAGGAAAAGGTGACAAATTGAGTCATGAAAATAATGCAAGAATTGAGGAACTTGCCAAAGAACAGAAAATACCAACAGAAAACATTCGAGAAGTTCTGTCTACAGGTAATCTCAATGATATTTTTGAAATAGAACATACACTGAGTATATCTACATATGTACATCTCTGTCTATACAATATGGTACTTGATTTAGATTATGTCAAATCATATGTTATTTTTCAGCTATTTCCAACAATAACCATCACAGAGCATTTCTTTTGTTCTTATGATAGCATTTCTGTCACTCCTTATCCATCCCATGAATGTTTTTTTTCAGATAATTGTCCTATGAAATACTACTCTAGGTAAGTACAGAAGCCATGCACATCCATCTTGATATTTGAGTGGATTTATGCTTATTACATAAAATAAGTGACAAAAAATTAGCTAAAATTAGGTAAAATCAAGCCAGAGTATTACTTGTCTTTAAAGCTGAAATTTTGCAGTACCAATAATGAAAGACAGATACATTTATTTACAATACAATATGAAGGATTTTCATCTTAGTCAGAATTCTTAATATTTTTCTATTGAGAAATATTTCATTAAAAATGTTTCATGTTTTGAAAATTTTTACTTCTTATTGCGTAGTATATTTTGTCACAATTAAGGTATAAACATATTATGTTTTCAATGTGTTCTTTGAGAATTATTAATCTAAATTTTCATGTAGAAGTACACAATGTCGTTATATCTTGGAGTAAGTGATCTCAAATAATGCAAAGTACAAGGACTTGTTGATTTCTAGGAAAGGAACAGTTTTTGTACAATCTCTTCTCTATACTCGATACCATTCATTTTAACTTTGCATTCATATACTACAAAACATGAATTCTTTCCTGCCATCTCAGTCATGTGCTAATTTTTGTATTTCCTGTTTACAATATGATGAGAATTTTGCATCATATCCACTTGTTCATGGAATCAGTTTTGCCTGTAATCCATCTTTTCTGTCTAAATGAACTCTCTGCTCTCCTTTGACGTCAAGAATTCACACCTCAATTTTTAGGCTTACATTTTTTCCACTTCATATTATCTGT